TTTCTCCCTGATGGCAAGCCCGCAGTGCAGCTACAGCTGCCCACATCTGAGCATTCTCCTGGTAGGTAGGGTACCACCTTGTCTATTACAACCAGTGTCTGAACACACTGCCAGGTGGCCTGAGGAAAAATCCACCAGCCTGGTCCCATCTCCCTGATACTCCAGCATGCCATCCACAGGCTTGAGGATCTCACAGCCCAGTCCCTCACCATTGCCACTATTTGTGCAGATGTCAACATAAGGACACAAGAAACATGAAAAAGTGTGGAAATATGACACCTCCAGCAATAATTCTTCAGTAACAGATCCTAATAGAAAAAATTCACAAAATTCCTGAAAAAGAATTTAAAATACTGATTTTAAAGAAAATCCATGAGATAAAATAACTCTGAAAAACAATACAGATAAATAAGAAAACAACTAAATATAAGAATAAGAAGTTTACCAAAGAGAGAGATTTTTTTGTTAAAGAACCAAACAGAAATTCTGAAACTGATTAATTTGAGGAAATACAAAATACATTTAAAAGATTTGACAATTGACTAGATCAAGTAGAAGAAAGAATCTGAGAACTTGAAGACAGGTATTTTTAAATAATTCGTAAAAAATAAATAATAAACTATTTTTAAAATAGGCAAAGTCTTTGTGACATTTTGGATAATATAGTCACATATAAAGTGACTGAATATGTGAATTATCAATGCCCTTGGTAAGAAAACATATGTAGTAAAATATTAGATGAAAAATTCCTAAGTTTATCAAAAGATATAGGTATCTAAATACAGGAGGTACAAAGATCATCAAACAGATATAACGCAGAAAGATCTTTTCTAGCAGTACATTAAAGTCAAACTGTCTGAAGTTAAAGCAAAAAGGGGATATAAAAACAGCATGAGAAAAACATCTAGTCCCCTCTAAAAGAACCCCCTTCAGACTAACACTGGATTTCTCAACAAAAACTTTAAAATCTAGGAGAGAATTGGTTGTCATATTCATGGTCATGAAAGAAGAAAACTGCTACCCAAGGATAATGTATTCAGCAAAATTATCTTTTATAAATAAAGTAGAAATAAAGTTTTTCCAAGATAAGCAAACACAAAGAGAATTCATCACCATTATACAGCCCTGTGAGAAAATCTCAAGAGTTCTAAACTTGGAAAAAAAGGGTGACACTCATCATGAAAACACACACTGTGTGTTTTAAACTCACTGGTAAACCAAATACACAAATGAGCAAGAAATATGATTCAAATAGTGCCACTATAGTGAAACACCAAGCCACAATCACTAACAATAATAGAAAAAGAAAGAAACAAAGTATTTACAAAACAACCAGAAACAATTAACAATATGAGAGTAACAAAGCCTCACATATTAATGATAACTTTGAATGTAAATGGATTAAATTCTCTAGATATAAATAGAGAATGACTGAATAAAGAAACTCAGTCCAACCATATGCTGTCAACAAGAATCACACTTTGCCAGAAAAGACACATACTGACTCAAAGTAAAGGAATTAAAGTTATTCTTTTCAAATGGAAAACAAAAATAATATAGGAATGGTTGTATCTATTCAGATTTAAAATTTTTTGAGTTAAAAAACAGTAAAAAAAAAAAGACAATGACAGTTACTGTATAATGATAAAGGCATCACTTTAGCAAAAGAATATAACAATTCTAAATATATATGCAACCAACACTAAAATACTCAGATTCATAAAGCAAATATTATTATATTTAAAGAGAGAGGCAGATTCCTATTATAGTGGGAGATTTCAACTGTACAATATAATGGAAGACTTTAACTCTCAGCATTAGACAGAATATTTAGGCAGAAAATCCACAAAAATAATTGGATTTCAACTGGACTTTGATTTAACAGACATTTACAGAACACTTCATCCAACTACTGCAGAATATGCATTCTTCTCATCAGCACATGGAATATTTTCAAGGATACATCATATTTTAGGACACAAACCAAGCCTCAGCATATTTTTTTGAAATTGAAACCATGCCAAGTATCTTCTCAGACCAAAGTTGAATAGAAATAGAAATCAACACTAAGAGGAATTTTGGAAATCAAATACCCAAAAATTTAAATAAAAACAAAATAAAACAAAATAAAAATGTTCCTGAATCATCACTGGGTCAATGAAAAAATTACTGTGAAATTTAAGGAGGGCAGATCCAAGATGGCCTAATTGAAACAGCTCTGGAGTGCAGTTCCCAGTGAGAACAATGCAGAGCATGAGTAATCACCACGTTTCCAAATTAGGTTTTACTGCTCACAGACCAGGAGATTCCCCAGACTGAAAAGCACCATGAGTTTCCAGCACGGCTGATTCAGCCCACGCAGTGGGTCTCCGCAAAAAAAAAACTCACGCAAATCTGGGCAGCCATTTCAACTGGCAACTGGAATGCCTGGGAGACAGAGTGACCAATTCAACTGATAAAAAAGGGGACTGAAATGGAGCAGGTAATCTGGCTTGGTGGTTGCCACCCCCACAAAGATCAGCAATCTGAAAAGCTCTGGATTGAGTGTTTCGTAGCAAGTGCAGCTGGACCCAGGATGATCCAGCTATGTGGGGGAAGGGTTGTCTGCCATTACTGAGGCAGTCCACAACTCCTGAGGCAGTCCACCATTACTGAGGCTGTCTGCCATTACTGAGGCTGTCCGCCAGTACCGAGACAGTCCACCATTACCAAAGCAGTCTGCCATTACCGAGGCAGACTGCCATTACTGAGGCAGTTCTAACTATACCTCTATAAATAAAACTGCTAGGAAGTTCACACAGCAGCTGGGCAGAGCCCACAGCAGCTCAGCAATGCCTCTGCTGGCAGACTGTGACTATGCTACCTCCTTGCTGGACAGGGCATCTCTGAAAAAAGGCAGCAGCACATCAGGAACTTATAAAGCCCCACCTTCCTAGGACAGAGCACCTGGGAAAAGCGGCAGTTATGAGTTCCACTGCAGCAGACTTAAATGTACCTGCCCAGCATCTCTGAAAGGAATAAAGGAGCTCCCAGCTCTGCACTTGAGATCCTATAAGGGACAGACTGTCTCCTCAAACAGCTCCCGACCCCCATATATCCAAAGAGACACCTCATAAAGGAGAGCTCGGGCTGATATCTGGTGGGTAGCCTTCTGGGACAAAGATAACAGAAGAAGAAACTGGCAGCAACACTTACTGTTCTGCAGCTACTGCAGGTGATCCCCAGGAAAGCAGGGTCTGGAGTGGACCTCCAGCAGTCCTACAATAGAGGGGCCTGACTGTTAGAAGGAAAACTAAAAAACAGAAAGAAATAACTTCGACATCAACAAAAAGGATGTCCACTCAGAGACCCCATCCAAAAGTCACCAGCTACAAAGACCACAGGTAGATAAAGCCACTAAGATGAGAAGAAACAGTGCAAAAAGGATGAAAATACCAAAAACCAGAATGCCTCTCCTCCTCCAAGGGATCAAAACTCCTCCCGAGCAAGTGAACAGAGCTAGATAATGAGTCTGATGAATTGACAGAAACAGGCTTCAGAAGGTGGATAATAACAAACTTCTCTGAGCTAAAAGAACACGTTCTAACCCAATGCAAAGAAACTGAGAACCTTGAAAAAAGGTTTGATGAAATGCTAACAAGAATAAACAGCTTAGAGAAGACTATAAATGACTTGATGGAGCTAAAAAACACAACTGGAGAACTTGGTGAAACATAGACACATTTCAGTAGCCATATCAACCAAGCAGAAGAAAGGGCATCAGAGATTGAAGATTAACTCAATGATATAAAAAAGAGGGCAAGATTAGAGAAAAAAAGAGAGAAAAGAAATGAACAAAGCCTCCAAGAAATATGGGATTAAGTGAAAAGACCTAATCTATGTTTGATAGGTGTACCTGAATGTGACAGAGAGAATGAATCCAAGCTGGAAAACACTCTTCAGGATATTATCCAGGAGAACTTCCCCAACCTAGCAAGGCAGGCCAACATTCAAGTCCAGGAAATACAGAGAACACCACAAAGATATTTCTCAAGAAGAGCAACCCGAAGGCACATAATCCTCAGATTCACCAGGGTTGAAATGAAGGAGAAAATGCTAAGGGCAGCAAGAGAGAAAAGTCAGGTTACCACAAAGCGAAGCCCATCAACTCACAGAGGATCTCTCATCAGAAACCCTACAAGCCAGAAGAGAGTGGGGGCCAATATTCAACAACCTTAAAGAAAATAGCTGTCGACCTAGAATCTCCTATCTAGCCAAACTAAGCTTCATAAGTGAAGGAGAAATAAAATCCTTTATGAACAAGCAATTGCTGAGAGATTTCATCACCACCAAGCCTTCCTTACAAGAGCTCCTGAAAGAAGCACTACATATAGAAATGAACAACCAGCACTAGCCACTCCAAAAACATACCAAATGGTAAAGAGCATCGAAGCAATGAAGAAACTTCATCAACTAATAGGAAAAAAAAAAAACAGCTAGCATCAAAATGGCAGGATCAAATTCACACATAACAATATTAACCTGAAATGCAAATGGGCTAAAGGCCCCAATCAAAAGACACAGAATGGCAAATTGGATAAAAAGTCAAAACGCATCTGTGTGCTGTATTCATGAAACCCATCTCACATGCAAGGACAAACATAGGCTCAAAATAAAGGGATGAAGATTTACCAAGCAAAAAAAAAAAAAAAAAAAGCAGGAGTTGCAATCCTAATCTCTTATAAAATAGACTTTAAACCAACAAAGATCAGAAGAGACAAAGAAGGGCATTACATAATGGTAAAAGGATCAATGCAACAAGAAGAGCTAACAATCCTAAATTATACACACCAAATACAGGAGCACCAAGATACATAAAGCAATTTCTTAATGACCTGCAAAGAGACTTAGACTCTCACACAATAAGAGTGGGAGACTTTAACACTCCACTGTCAATATTGGACAGATCATCGAGACAGAAAATTAACAAGGATATCTAGGGCTTGAACTCTGATCTGGACCAATCAAACCTAATAGACCTTTACAGGATTTTCCACCCCAAATCAACAGAATATACATTCTTCTCAGCACAACATCACACTTACTCTAAAACTGACCACATAATTGGAAGTAAATCACACCTCAGCATATGCAAAAAAATGGAAATTGTAACAGTCTCTCAGGCCACAATGCAATCAAATTAGAACTCAGGATTAAGAAACTAACTAAGAACTGCACAACTTAATGGAAACTGAACAACTGGCTCTTGAATGTTGACTGGATAAACAATGAAATGAAGGCAGAAATAAAGATGTTCTTTGAAATCAATGAGAACAAATACACAATGTACCAGAATCTCTGGGACACATTTAAAGCAGTGTCTAGAGGGAAATTTATAGCAATAAATGCCCACAGGAGATACAAGGAAAGATCTAAAATTGATACTGTATCATCAATATTAACAGAGTTAGAGGAGCAAGATCAAAAATACTCAAAAGCTTGAGAAGACAAGAAATAACAAAGATCAGAGCAGAACTGAAGGAGATAGTGACACAAAAAACCCTTAAAAAAATCAATAAATCCAGGAGCTGGTTTTTTGAAAAGATCAACAAAATAGACCCCTAGCTAGATTAATAAAAAAGAAAAGAGAGAAGAATCAAATAGATGCAATAAAAAATGATAAAGGGGATATTGCCACCAATGCCACAGAAATACAAACTACCAACAGCAATTACTAAAACAACTCTATGCATATAAACCAGTAAACCTGGAAGAAATGGATACATTCCTGGACACTTGCACCCTCTCAAGCCTAAACCAGGAACAAGTTGGAACCCTGAATAGACCAATAACAAGGGCTGAAGTTGAGGCAGCAGTTAATAGCCTACCAACCAAAAAAAGCCCAGGTCCAGATGGGCTCACAGCTGAATTCTACCAGACATACAAAGAGGAGCTGGCACCACTCCTTCTGAAACTCTTCCTAATAACACAAAAAGAGTGAATCCTTCCCACGTTGTTTTATGAGACCAACAATATCCTGATACCAAAACCCAGCAGAGACTCAGCAAAAAAAGAAAACTTCAGGCCAATATCCGTGATGAACATAGATGCAAAAATCTTCAATAAACTACTGGCAAACTGATTGCAACAGCACACTGAAAAGCTTATCTATCATGATCAGCTAGGCTTCATTCCAGGGATGCAAGGCTGGTTTAACATATGCAAGTCTATAAACATAATACACCACATAAACAGAACCAAAGACAAAAACCACATGATTATCTCAATAGATGCAGAGAAGGCCTTCTACAAAATTCAACAGCCTTTATGTTAAAAACTCTAAGAAACTAAGTATCAGTGGAACGTATCTCAAAATAATAAAAGCTATTTACAACAATCCTGCAGCCAGTATCATACTGAAAGGCCAAAAACCAGAAGCATTCCCTTTGAAATCTGGCAGTAGACAAGGATGTCCTCTCTCACCACTCCTATTCAATATAGTATTGGAAGTTCTAGCCAGAGTAATTAGGCAAGAAAAAGAAATAGAGGATATTCAATTAGGAAAGGAGAATTCAAATTGTCTCTATTTGCAGATGACATGATTGTGTATTTAGAAGACCCCATCTTCTCAGCCCAAAATCTCCTTAAACTGATAAGCAACTTCAGCAAAATCTTAGGATACAAAATCAATGTGCAGAAATCACAAGCAACCCTATACACCAATAACGGACTTGAAGACAGCCAAATCAAGAGTGAACTGCCATTCACAATTGCTACAAAGATAATAAAATACATAGGAATACAACTAATGAAGGATATAAAGGATCTCTTCAAGAAGAACTACAAACCACTTCTCAAGGAAATAAGAGAGGACACAGACAGATAAAAAAAAAAAAATTCCATGCTCATGGTTAGGAAGAATCACTATCGTGAAAATGGCCATACTGCCCAAAGTGATTTATAGATTTAGTGCTATCCCCATCAAGCTACCTATGACCATCTTTTCAGAACTGGAAAAACACCACCTTAAACTTCATATGGAAAAGAAAGACAGCCCACATAGCCAAGAAAATCCTAAACAAAAAGAACAAAGCTGGAGGCATCACGCCACCTGACTTCAAACTATACTACAAGGCTACAGTAATCAAAACATCATGGTACTGGTACCAAAACAGAGACATAGACCAATGGAACAGGACAGAGGCCTTGGAGGCAATGCCACACATCTACAACTATCTGGTCTTTGACAAACCTGACAAAAACAAGCAATGGGGAAAGGATTCCCTGTTTAATAAATGGTGTTGAGAAAACTGGCTAGCCACATGCAGAAAGCAGAAACTGGACGCCTTCCTTACTTCTTACACTAAAATTAACTCCAGATGGATTAAAGACTTAAACATAAGACCTAACACCATAAAAACCCTAGAAGAAAACCTAGGCAAATCCATTCGGGACATAGGTATAGGCAAGGACTTCATGACTAAAACACCAAAAGCATTGGCAACAAAAGCCAAAATAGACAAATGGAACCTAATTAAACTCCAGAACTTCTTCACAGCAAAAGAAACAATCATTAGAGTGAACTGGGAGCCAACAGAATGGGAAAAAAATTTTTTGCAATCTACCCATCTGACAAAGGGCTAATATCGAGAATCTACAAAGAACTAAAACAGATTTACAAGAAAAAAAGAAACAACCCCATTCAAAAGTGGGCAACTGATATGAACAGACACTTTTTCAAAAGAAGACATATATGATGCCAACAAACATTTGAATAAATTCTCATCATCACTGATCCTTAGTGAAATGCAAATCAAAACCACAGTGAGATACCATCTCACACCAATTAGAATGGTGATCATTTAAAAAATCTGGAGACAACAGATGCTGGAGAGGATGTGGAGAAATAGGAACACTTTTACACTGTTGGTGGGAGTGTAAATTAGTTCAACCATTGTGGAAGACAGTGTGACACTTACTCAAGGACCAAGAAATAGAAATTCCATTTGACCCAGCAATCCCATTACTGGGTATATATCCAAATGATTATAAACCGATCTGTTATAAAGACACATGCACACGTATGTTTATTGCAGCACTGTTTACAATAGCAAAGACGTGGAACCAACCCAAATGTTCATTAAAGATAGACTGGTCTAGGAAAATGTGGCACATATACACCATGGAATACTGTGCAGCCATAAAAAATGATGAGTTTGTGTCCTCTGTAGGACATGGATGAATCTGGAAACCATCATTCTTAGCAAACTGACACAAGAAAAGAAAATCAAACACCACATGTTCTCACTTATAGGTGGGTGTTGAACAGTGAGAACACATGGACACAGGGAGAGGAGCATCACACACTGGGGCCTGTAGGGTGGGACTAAAGGAATGGAGGGACAGTACAGAGTAAGGAGGTTGGGAAGGGATAACATGGGGAGAAATGTCAGATATAGGTGACAGGGGGACAGAGGCAGCAAACCACATTGCCATGTATGTACCTATGCAACAGTCTTGCATGATCTGCACATGTACCCCAGAACCTAAAGTGGAAAACTTAGTGGAAATGATAAATGTCTGGAGAAAAACAACCTGCCAAGAATGAATCAGGAAAAAGTAGAAAACCTGAACAGACCAGTAACGAATAATGAGATTGAATCAGTAATAAAGTCTTCCAAAAAAGAGAAGCCTAAATCTGATGAATTCACTGCTAAATTATACCAAACATATAAAGAACTAATACCAATCCTCCTCTACCTATCCTAAAAAACTAAGAGGAGAAAGCTTTCCCTAACTCATTCTACAAGGCTGGCATTACCCTGATACAAGAACTAGACAAGTGTATAAGAAGAAAAAACCACAGGCCAATAATTCTAATGAAAACTGATGCCAAAATTCTCAACAAAATACTAGCACACTGAATCCAACAGCACATCAAAAGACAGTACACATGACCAAGTGGGATTTACACCAGAGATACAAGGATGTCAACATATACAAATCAATAAATGTGATACATCACATCAACAGAATGAAGGTCAAAAGCCATGTGATAATTGCAATAGGTGCAGAAAAAGATTTTATAAAATTCAATATCCCTACATGATAAAAACTTTCAACAAGGCCAAGCACAATGGCTCATCCCTGTAATCTTACCACTTTGTGAAACTGACGGGTGTATTACCTGAGTCCAGTAGTTCAAGACCAGCATGTGAAACATTGCAAAATATCATCTCTACAAAAACTACAAAAATTAGCCGGGCATGGTGGCACATGCTCAGGAGAATTACCTGAGCCTGGGGAGATAGGCTGCAG